AGGCTGATTCTCTGCCACATGGGTGAGAGAAAGACGGGAGGGAAGAGGAGGGAGAAAAGAGGGGGCGGACGCACAGGAAGCACATTTGTATGCATTTCCTCTCATAACAGGAAGAGGCCAGTGGCTTCCCCTTCACAATGGCTTCGCTTCTGCTTCCCACCTCCTGCCTGCTTCCCTGGGGGAGGAGGAGGTGAAGGAAGAGGAGGAATGGAGACAGGCACCAAAAACTGCTGGTTAGCAAACCAAACATGGCCGTGTGGACACACACACACACACACACACACACACAAATAGATGTCAGTCACCTATGGAGCAGCACGATTTGTCTTGAGACAAACACTTATCCCATTGTCAGGAGCCAAGCAGGAAGACACGGGCTTACGCAAAAGGAATAAAGAGCCCAAGACCTTGGCCTGAACTCTGCCTCACAGCCAAAGAAGCTGTTAAGAGAGGCATTACGACAAAAGAGGCTTTGTCCCACCTCTAATATATGCTATGCTCTTCCCTCTCCTCAAAACCCCACTTATTATTCTTTCTCAGGGTGCCTTCATCGTACAGTAGGGACAGGAGGCAGCAAACGCCAAACGTGTCTCCGTCCAGTGTCTGAATTAAAAGTGTCCACTCTGGTTTAAAGCTAATGTGTGAAACTGATCAAGTGGCATCTTAATTATTTAGCTATACGTGTGTTCAAATGCAAGCTAGTTTCTATTTTTCTTCTTTACCAGAAATGACATTTCAGTACAGGGCTGAAATGGTCATGCTCCTCTGTATGTTCCTGTTTATGCTAAAAAACCGCAACTGGAAAAGGATATACCCACTGACTATAAAAAGTGGATGTTACATTGCAAGGCCCGAGTTAGTGGTCAGAAGGACAAAAATAACTTTGTTGTCATTCATTTGGGGTGGATACACTTTAAGCATGGCACTGAGACCAATGCTGTGTATGTAAAGCACATTATTTCCATTTTTAAATTAATTTTCACTGAAATGGAAGCTGTTAGTTCACACAGGTTGTATGCTATCACAGGTCTGATTGTTTAAGTGATTTCTGCTGCATGAAAACCTGATAAACCCCAGCTTTCATTAACCGAGGACAAAAATTGAGAGAAGGTGTAAATGAATTGCATATTATGAGCCAGCACCTCAAACTAAATTTTAAATAAAACAGTGTTAAAGTTTCCAGACTGTAAGAACAATAAACTTTTGTTTAAATCAAATTTGAACAAATATGTGTGTGCACAAGAACTTTCCAAATTAAAATTCATTTCACGCAATTTCGAAAATCTTTAAAATGCAGCCTGATGAATTGGAAGGAGTTGTGTTATGAAGACTAAAAGTCTGACAAAGTGAGTCACTTGGCGAACAAAGGGAAAGCTATGCAAACAATTAAGACTTTATGGCGAGAGGGAGAAAAAAACAGAGCGAAGCGAGAGAGCTTGACGAACCAAGCGAAGAACACGCGAACGAGAAACGAAACAAAAAGTAGTCGAGGAGGCAAAAACAAAGGAATCTTTTAAAAAGGCAGTGGGGAAAAGGTGAGAGCTTAGTGAGCCCTTTGCAGGTGAGGTCTTGCAGCGCTGAACATATGACAGAGAAGAGTGCCACTCGCTGTGGTAAAAGGAGGAGATGGTAGAAGGTGGGAAACAGGGAATTAGAGGAGGGGTGCAGGGGTGAGGAGCTACCCTGTGGGCCTCATTATTTTCCTGCTGTTAATTTCGCTCACACATTTTCTCACCCCAGTGCTGTTGATTGGAGGGAAGAATGCTTTGTCGTAGAAACAAAAAGACCCCTTATTTCAGCTGCGGCGCTGTGGTTAACATGGCGAGGGAGGAGAGGAGACATGTGCAGGAAGACGTAAAAACATGTACTTTTTTAATCTCCTCTCAGCCCAAGTATGTGTTAATGCGACTGCTGTTTGTGGGAGTAAGGAGATCCTGTTGTTTTACTTCCTGTCACTGATGACCTGATCCATGTTTAACCTTTCGGCCCCGGGTCCCTTCCCCCTTGGAGCCCACATGTCCCGCACAAAGACACTCACACATACACAAACAAGTGTGTCAAACAATTAACCCCACTGAGCATACTGGCTTGAGAGGTAACACTAATTAGAGCCAATTGCAGTAAATTAGTCGATCCCCGAGACGGACACCGGAGAGATAGATGTGCACACGTGAATACAAGCGTGCATTTGTCTACGCTGCATAAACAAAGGCGCTAAACGCACCGTCTAAGTATGTGTGCGAGCGTATAATCTGCAATGTCTCAAGTCTATGCCAGTGCGCACACACACCTGCACGCGTGTCTTGTACTGTAGGTGTGTGCGCCCATCTATCTGTGTGCGTGTGCAAGCTGGATCAAGAGAGCCTGCTCTCTGTGTACAGCCCATGAGTTTATGGCACAGGGGGCTCTTTCATGTGCCCGAGGCTGGGAGAGGGTCTGAGTGGTCGGGCGGCGTGGAGCCAGGGCTCACACACTGCTGCCCACTGTCCAGAGCTCCGGGCAGCCAGTCAACGCCAGGGAGGCCTGGCCCTTCTGCCACTGCTCTGGGGAAGTGTTTCGGGGCCTGGGGGTGGCAGCCCAAAGTGGCCGCCCAGAGAGAGCCAGGCCCCGTGCCCAATACGATGCGCCTACTGCAAGGAGAGCAAGGGGCGGGGAGGCAGTATAGCCCCGTAGGTGGCAAGGTAGCGTTGACAGCTACACAGAGTGGTGCCACTCCAAAGAGGGCTGCATTATGAAGTGTGTCATAATCAGGGAAATGCTACAGGAATACCTTGTTCTGTTTTATACATGACTCAACAAGCTGTTAAATGTCAATATTACCTATCTGTATATATACTGTATAGCAATAATCCTAAAAATTCGACCACTCTATGAAACACAGAAGCACTTTTTAGACATAAAACGGTAAAAGTATGTGAAGAATGTGAGGTTGAAAGCAACACTACACACAGTCCTCTGGTGTTTATTTGGCTAGGGCTCTGGGACATATCCTCAAAAAGGAAGTGAAAATATGCAAAGCCAAAGCTTCCGTTTTTTTTTTTTTTTTTTTTTTTTTTTTTTTTTTTTTTCTTTAATGAAGAAATTTTAAGTTTCTATGTCTGTCTCTGTCCAAGTCTTGTGATGTCCGCCTCCTCAAAAAGAGGTGATGTCATCTATTTAGGCTGTAGGTTGAATGACACTCCACAGAACATGCGGTGATTTCCACATGACTCGATGATGTCATGTCAGGAGCGATCGTTACTTCACTGAAACAACACCAAAATAAGTAATCTATCATTTTAAAGATCAAAACAACAAAATCCAGCGATATATTGATTTTCCCTTCTGTGAACCTTTTTTTCTCTCTCTGCCCCCGTCTCCTCCCCTGCCTCCTCGTCTCCCTGTAAGTAAAGCCCGGATATCTCAGACATCGATTCCCCTCAGGTGTCCTTCCTGTCTCCCTCTTTCCCCTCCTTATCCTCAGAGGTCGGAGAGCCTGGTACAACTTGCAGGCCGAGTCTAAGGTGGGGCGAGAGAGGAGGGCTGAGATAACAGTAAGGAGGAAGTGTGGGTGCTGCTGCAACATGATAGTTCTAGTCCTCATCTAAAACTCTGTGACCTCCTAATTGCTCTCGCTGTCTCTCTGTCTGCCTGCCTGCTTCCTCCAATAACAAATACATGGTTTTGAATATGAGCACATAAGTATATACCCTCACGCTTGACCCCTTGCTATTTTTTTTTAATGATTCTTTTTTCTGTGCTGGCCCTCTGTGAATCTGTTTCTGAGGTGATGATGCAGGAAAATTGTGACAATGGAGTAGCTTCTTAAATACAGGTGCCCTCACTCGCTCACTTCTTTCTCAGTATCTTCTAGTTACTTGCAATCTCGCTTGAGATCGGTCACGACGGGGGTCAAAATCTGCTTCATCTACTCCTCTGGTACAGCCCAATCAATTCGCTGGGTTCTCACTCTGGCCTGCGTTTGTTAAAGCGTGCTGTGAAATGACTCTGGAGCATTAATGTGGACGTCAGACAATGAAGACGTCTTAGAAGCAACGAAACAGATCAGAACTGTGTGTGCCAGTGCATGTGCTTGACCTGTGATCCAGGGGCCACGTTAGCAGCGTATGGATCCAATTGGGCTGCCAGGAAGCTGACAAAGTGTCAGTGGTCAGCTGTGCCACAGGAAGTGATCGATTGTGGGCCTCAAGGGCAGTGAGAGAGCTCTGTCTCTATCTATTTCCTGCCACAGACGGTAGCGTCTACTTGAATCTCGCTGTCCACAATTTATTATGTCTCTCTCTCAAGTAATGCCAGCTGTTGTTAAAAAAGTGTCCTGCAAGGGTTCCATTGTTGTTTGATTTGCTGTTTGACTGGGATGTTTTCAAATCTGAAAATGCATCTTTTAAGGCGATGCAGAGGAAAGCTACAGCAGTCCTGCAGTTACTGATTTAGCTCAAGAAAAATATCGTTTCAGTGTTTGTTTCCCAGTGTGTCACTTTAGACCATCCCATCTCTGTTCGGTTGTTTGTTTATATTTTCCCCCGCCCTGCCTCTCTGGGGTTACCACCCTCTGCCCGGTAATATTCCACTGGCAGAGAGCTAAAGTGGGTAGCATGGTGTGAGGGCTTTGGGTGTGTGAAGGGTGCTTCATCTGTACGTAGGTTGTGCCCTTCAGACCGTGCAGTGATATGCAGGATGGATTTTTAAAATTACAAATGTTTTCATGCAAATCCATTTTTTAGGGAAACACGCTGCTGGTGCTCTCACGCTGGTTTGCTGGATTGAAGAGAAAGAAACGCGCCATTATACGCCAATGGAGCTCTTCCACCCAAAGCAATAACTGTTCTTTCCCCGTATGCACTTTTCTGTCCCCCAGTTCACATATTGCCCAGACTCCCAGAAGACCTTCATTGTTGAGGGCTATGTGGGGTGTAGGGTGTTTCTCCTTCCTCCCTCTTCCACTCCTTCTCTCCCCCCATCCTCATACTCATCCATCCTCCCATCCCCCAGGGACTTACCTGTCTGTTGCGTTCATCCATAATCCGCGTGATCTGAATCTTTTTCCTCCCCATCGTCCCCGTCTCTTTCTTTCTCTCCTCTTTCTAAAGAACTTTAAGCTTTCTTCGCTCTCCTCTTTCTTCTTCTCTCTCTCTTCTTTCTCTTCACTCTTCCGCTCTTCCTTTATCTGTCTTTTTTTTTTTTCTGCTTTCTATTTGTTCCAATCAACTCAAAGATTCCAGCATCTGTACCTGCAAGACAGAAGGGAGGGGTGGGAGAGAGAATAAGCATTAAATGAAATGAAATATGGCAAAATACTGAGAAAAAATAATAAAAGTGGCATCATGGCAGCCACAAGGGAGGGTGAAGAAAGACAAAGAATCTGTCAACAATGTTGTGAGAACCGCTGTGTTTTTCACTGTCGATATCATGCAAATCAGTTTTTGCATTTTTTTTTTTTTCCCAGGCACCGACTATGAGAGGAGACAGCGCTGTCAGGATCTCGCCTCGTTCACAGAGAGTTTGACAGTGTTTTGGAAGTGCCGCTAACTTAAACGCTCTAATCACCAACACTGTAACATTACCTCCAGACTGAGAAATACATTTTGTTTCTTCCCATGGAACTGCACTGTATTGACAGTGGAACTGCCAGCCACAACTTTTTGTACTCTATATGCAGCTCATCTCCAAAATGGCAGATGTGAACTGCACGATGGAATACAGATGTAAAATTTGAGCTCAGTCTTGCCATGCTCTGGCAAAACAAAGCCAAAATTAGAGTAAGAAAAAAAAAAAGTGCCTAGAGTGATCTTTTGAAACATAGTAAAAGGATGTTTCTTAGAGACAGAAATCAAACAAAATTCCAACATTAACACAATCCAGCTGGAGATACTGCATGTCAGTGGGAGCATCTGAGCAGCAGGGAATAAATGCACTTGTGCGTTTCCTTGTGTTTGTACCTGTGTTTCAGAGGTGGAGGCCAGCAGCTGATGTGCCGGACTGCAAGAAGAAAGTTGCGCTCCAAAAAGTTTGCATGAGTGAATGACTGTGTGTCCGTGTGTGTCTGTGTGTGTGAGCGCGCGCACGCACGTGTATGGGTGTGTGGGTGTGTGTGTGTGTCGGTACATGTGTGTGTGCTCTTGTGCGAGCTTGGCTAAGCCAGAGCTCCAGTGCATCTCTCCAGAGTGCTAAAGTAGGCCAACCCAATCTATCTCAGGGAGGAGCAGAAGAACTGTTGTTGTGTTTTCTTTTGACAGTAGAGGTGATAACGTCCCTCGTTATGCAAATGAGCATCCCATTATTTAAGCTCAGTGCAATGCAGGGGAGCTGTCAGCGCCGTCACATAAAAAAAAAAATCCTCCATCTACCCTGCCTTTTTTTCTCTACTTTCCATTTCTTCTCTCTTCTCTCCTTTCTGAACCAGATTTCCGGCACCTGGCAGCACAAGCATCAGACATTGATGTGGAAGACGACACCGCTTCACCAAAAGACATGTCAGTCTCTCTCTCTATCACTCTCTCTCTTTTCTCAAACACCCTTGCTCTTTTCCTCACTCTCTCATATTCTTTCCTTTGCACAGTCCCGCACACATACCTGCACATTGTAGTGCACTTCCTTTCCTTTTATTATCTTCCCCCTAACCCGAATCCATGTATTTATTGAGTAACATGCATGAGGAAGCACAAGAAAGATCTAAACCCCTGAGGTGAGCGCAGCACATTGCTATGCACTTGACCTTTCTGTGCAAGAGAGTAGGACATTGATAATGAAAGCTAGTAATAGAGACATCCAGGGATACTGTGGCTCCTAGTGACAGACCAAGGCCCGTAGCAGTAGCACATGATCTTGGATCTTTCCATGAGCAACAGAAAATGCAGGCTGTGTATTACATATCCAACTCTTTCAAAATGTATAGCATAGTAACGTTTAGTTCTGTTAGGGCTAAGGCACTACAATGCTGCGGATCTACGGAGTCCATGCGCAAAACAGTTTAGTGAATATAAATATATATAAATATATTTTTCAAAATAACATCACATCGATCATTATGTATTTTTTCAATATTGTCTGCCAAAAACTTCACCATCACATGAAAACTGAAAACAAAGTGAGACAATACAGTCTCAACAATGATGAAATGAATGACAAAAACAAACTTCCTGTGATGATGGTTTGGAAAACACCCACTTATGGAAGAATTGAGATAGGAACACAAATGCATCATTTGGCAGTTAGGACAACAGCCGGACTACACCATCATAATAATAACAAGATCTAAAATAACTCTGTGGCAGCTCTGAAGAGGCTATCCAAAACATTTTAGCATTGCTCTGCGCAAACACACCCATCCATAGACAGAAAAACAAAGAGCTGCCCTCTGGAAGAAAACAAAAAAGGATGTTGTCAGACAAACTAGGATTACAAGCCAACACTAAGGCGCTTGGCACAAGACAGCCAGACAAGGATATCAATCAAGCCGGCGTACCTCAATCACAGGCTGACAGCATCATCCCCTCCCAGTCTTTGTACTCAACACTACCCAGCCCGGGCATCGCTCCAAACAAGGAGGCGTTACCTCCATGATCCCTGCCTCCTGGCCTACACCTCCTCCTCGTTCCTCCCACAGCACGCTGAGCAGAACTGAACCTCTCAATGTCAACACCCGCTGGGGCAACACCTTAGGCCTTACGTAACATTAACACTAAGATTAAGCCTGTGTCCTGAACATTTAATCCCTGCTTTTGGCTTGCAGCGCCAGCCAACGCTCCCTGAGGTGAGGCTCTGCTGCCGCTTAGCCCCGTGTTGGTGCCTCCCCACCTCAGCCAGCCCCCACCTCCCTTCCCCATCCCTTTTTCATTCCTTGCTTCCTCTGCCTCCTCCGACACGACGCGAGTTGCCTCCTTCCCCTCTTCTCTCCCCCTCCCTGCCACCACCTCCCCCCCACTTTTCCTCACACCGCCCCCGTCCCATATGAGTGCCAGGCAGCTCCTGGATAAAAAAAAACAAAAAAAAACGGAGTGCCCACCTCCTCGTCGGCTTCCTTCCCTCTCCTTCCCTTGCGGTGGATAGAGCATCGGTTAACTTAACAGATTACCACTGAATCACTAAATCCAATTTAGCCTCATGACGGCAAGACAGTGAAACGGAGGGAAATGCGGGGAAACAAGCAGCGCTTAGAGAACGTGGTCAAGTGGCACGGCACAGTGGTCCTCAGCAGGAATGTTTTGCAGCCCACTGACACTGACACCTGACCTTGAGAGGGCAAATGAGGTGAGAAAGTAACAAGAGGGAAAATTAAGACGCACAGTGCGAGACAGAAGAAAGAACTAACAAGCTTGTGCACATTAAGCCAATTTACTAATCCCAAAGTAGCGGAAGAGGGAATCAAGCTTTGTAAAAAAAAAAAAAAAAAAAATGAAGAATACACAAAAGAGATCCTTTATCTGCTCTGTGGACTCTGACTAATGGTATGCTTGTATTCACACTAGCCTGGTAACTGGAAGGAGGCCGGGGTGGGCAACTGCCAAGGTCAGAGAGCACACTGGCACCAAGCAGACAGAAGGACAACGGTTGCTCCTCTGCTTGTTTTATATCTTCGAGCCTTGAGTTGGAAAGGTGACAATGAAAGAGAAGGAGAGTGGCGAGAGGAAAACAGAGAAACGGAGTGAAGAGAGGGAAATGGATTGAAGCATAAAGAGGGATCTTTTGAACAGGCACCAGGCCTCTCCAGGGGGAGGGGAAGAGCTGTACCCACGACCCTCCCATCTGTTAAGCAGACGGATGGAGAGAGAGAGAGAGAGAGGGATAGAGAGAGAGGGAGAGAGAGAGAGAGGGAGAGATATGAAGGTTGGGGGAGGATGGGAGAGATGGAGAGGGAGCAGCGATTCAGCACATAGATCTAATGAGCATTTTCTCTCTGTGTCTCAGAAGTGTAGCTGAGAGGACAATGAGAACATATACACTCAGTGCACCACAAGGCTTGATTCTAGGTCGCCTCTCTCCCAAGTGTTTAGTCACTAAAAACTAATATACAGCACATGGCGCTTTTTCACATTCTAATAGACGTCTGTAGGGTGCTTGTTAATGTGGCTTTGTTATTGAGGACATACACTCAAGACGACTCCTCTGAATCAAGAGGGCAACAAAAAAAAAAAAAGGGAACTTTACTTTGACTCATGCTCAGGACTAATTCATCATTTTGAAAGACAGCTGCAGAGTTTTTTGCTTGTGGACGAGGAAAAGAGATGTGACAACAAATGAGCAGAAGCCTGCATTAAGTTCCAAGAAAGAAAAAAGTTGTGCACGAACAAGTAGGGGACCATTTCTGCATTCAAAGAATTGCGAGGGAAATATTGTTTTTTTTTGTAATTTTTTTTCTTTCAGAATGAAACTAGCTCTCCTATAAATGTACAGGGTGCAGAATTCTGCTGATACAGATATTCTCGAATCCTAATCCTACACGTTCTAGCAAATTGGGGGAGGTGATTTATCATGACAGAATTGGTGATGTTTTTCCAAGAAACCCCACCTCGGCAGCGCTGCCTCCACACATGGTACATCTGCAACACATTTGGTAATAGCATATGTCCAGCCAAAAAAAAAAAGAAAAAGAAAGAAAAAAATTATTTTATATATAATGTGCTTTAATATATAAATATATATAAATGAAATGCCAGCTTCCCTATCCTCGGAGATGCGGCTGTGAGGATTTGAAATAACATATTACACTGCAGTAAATAAACCTTTTAGGAAGTGTATGGTACATTAAATAAACGCTCTCTCTTTTTAAATAAACTCCCATTTCCTTGAAGAAGAGGACAAGAAAAAGTGCTTTAATATAGTTTTCAAAATACAATCTGAATGTCAGTACACACTCAAAGTGCTCTGTTTTTACCAGAGCATTTCTGTCATGAAGAATTTTATTTTTGTTTTTCAGCTCAAGAATTTCTTCTCTTTTTTTTTCCAGCTGTGTAGATTTTTGGAGGTGTCTTTGTGTTTTTTTTTGCTTTAGTGCATGTTTGCTTGTACAAACGTGGATATCTTTTTTTTGCTTTAGTGCATGTTTGCTTGTACAAACGTGGATATCTTTGCGAGTGCATTCGTGTGTGTTTGTGCTTTTGATTTGGAAATAGTAGTACACAGCACTTTATCTCCTGTAAGGGTGGATGGAGATATATACCAACAGAAATGAGAGGAGGGGAAGGATCAAGCAAAGGACTGAGTCGATGGCCAGGCAGGATGGGAAAAGAAAAATGTGTATCAGGTCTCATTGTGCCT